GCCCCGCCTCCCCGAGCTCGGCGAGCGCGCATGCGCAGAGCGGGGTGTGCCGGCGGTGACGCACCGAGCCCGGCCCGCCCCGAGCGGCGCCTGCGCCAAGGCGGGGCCTTTGGGGCCAGAGCGGGGCTTTGGGGTAATTAAAAGAAGTCCCGGTGAGTGGTCCCGTGTTCCCGTCCTGAGCGTGCAGCTCGGGACTGCAGCAGTTACCCCCACAAACAGCTCAACTGCCCGTGCGTCTCACCCTCAGAAACCACCGCCGCCTCCACAGCACATACAGTGTGTGTATATTTATAAATATACACTCTATACTATGTAGATACATCTTTATATATAGTGTATCTATAAGCACAGTGTATCTAGTATATAGAATATATATACAATATATAAAATGTATTTATTATGTATATAAACACTAGTATATATTATATAATTGTGAGAAATAGCCACTGGGAAAATTGAACAAGGACAAGTTTGTAAAATCAAAACTATCAATATAAAGTCCTTACACTATAAATAATATATAATATAATGTATATTACAATATATCTTAAATATTTTACATAGTATATATATATGCACTATAAATACATGTACAGTATACATATACACTGTATTATTTTGATCCAAAATATTACTTATACACAATATATCTAATTGTATGTGTAGTGAAGATCTACTATATAGATATAGATAAAAAAAATACTATTTTTCTGACTGGCTTTCTGTGAAACTCCCAGCTCTGAGGACATGAGCTATGTCTCTACATTCAAAGGTGACAGTCCACCTCAGTTCCACCTCCATCCATCCATCCCCACCTCACATTATCTCTGCCAGAGCTCCCATTAATTTTGCTCTAAGTAGAAAAGACTACCCGGGAATACATAATAAAAGACATAAAATGGGCGTCGTTTTCCTTCACAGAAGGCGGCAGCTGAAGAGCGACCCAAAAATAAAATTTTGATGATAAAATGATACTTGCCAAAAATCATCTGCGCTCTACAGCTCTTCCAGATTTATCCTGTGAGATACCCACAGCCTCGGAGTGGAACAACAGGAGCCATTTCACAGCTCTAAATCACTGAAAAGGGCACATCTCTAATCAGGACGCCAGAACCAAAGGTGCTGTCTCTCAAAAACAGAGATCAGAGAGTGTCCTTTGTATTTTAAAATGGTGTCATTAACTGAACACAAAAAGGTAGCTCCACAAAAGGTTAGGAAATAGGATGCAAGAAATGATAACAGAAACTCCCCTCTGGCAGTGTGGTGACCACAGCGTGGGATGGGAAAAGGTAGATCTTCCATGATCATTCCCAAAAAGTTAATGTAAATTTGTGTTGTCTGTTTCCAGAAGTTTCGCTCAAATGGAAACAGTAATTCACAGCTCTCAGAAATGCTGGAGTTCAGGGTTTGTAATGTACAGATTAGTTTGGATTTAAAAGTGCAGCCAGTAAATAAGTTGAACACTTTCTGAAACATCCACCTTTTTTCAAAGCAGAACTGCAAGAATAGACACTTCTTCTTGTGGATCTAAGAAAAAGATGACAAGAAGTGAGACAACAATATATAAATATTTGCCATCTACAATCATATTTCCATATTGCTGATCTGTAATAATCAGGAAGATAATTAAATACACAGAGTTTTCTTTCAATTTCAACATGAACAGTCCAAATGTCATTGATTTTCTTATGAATATGGTTTATTCTCTTCTTCTTCCTCACTATACCTATCATCCATAAAACCTGTAAGGTCTATTATTAGAATCTAATGATTAATACCACAAAATCTTCTCATGACAGCAATATACTGAGAAGATGTTAAGATAAAATACTGAATATTTAAATTATAAAAGTCAGCGGGAATCTGAGTAAGACACCAAAAGCAAGGCCTGAGCAAGGACTTTTGGATATACTCATGAATTATTTTCAGTACATATTATTCTAAGCTGGCAAAAAATAGAGCAGGAAGCCAAAGAGATAAATAATTGGTTCTAATCTGTCCTTTTCAGTAGCACCACAAGAATAAGCAGAGCATGTGTTGCTCAAGGGATTTCTCTATGAGCCTTGCAAACAATACTTCAGGGGCACAGAGCAGCCTCCTTCCCACTGAAATGCTTTCCTGCCCTGATGGAAACACTGCCCTGTGTAACAATTGAGAAAAGGAAGTGCAAAATTCAGGTTGCAGTTGGAACTCCAGATGTTGTTTTCCATGTGTGATGATGTGCTGCACATCTGCTCCTGCAGAGCCCTCGTGGGACTGGTGAGGAACAAGGATGGGTGGTGGGGACGGCACAGGTGTCCTGACGTGTCACAGTGAGTGAAAAATGTCACCCCTCAGGCTGACACAAATGAAGTCACAGAAGAATTGATACATTAAAATCACTGAAATCACTACCTGACCTGATGGTGATGCATTGGGTTTAACTTCCAGGACAACTGCAAAGGCCAAATTCACCTGGATAATACAAAGAGTGCAAGACTGTAGATAAAAAAGAAAAACGTACACTGCAGAGAAAAAAATGCAATCTTTGTAAGACTGTAGAAGCAGCAACATAAGAAAGCCCCAGAGAACATCACACTGGAGTGTCAATATGACAAGGGAAAAATTACCACAAGCATCTGCCAGGATCCCTCCTGAGAGAAAAGGGAACAACCACTGACTGCATTTCTGCCCATCTTATGTACAACTCAGAGACTAAAAAGAGCCCCCTGAAATCTCTTCCCTTGGCCAAATGGCAGGCACTGCAATTTCTATGAGATCCAAAGAGTAATAAACTCTGAGCAATAGCAAATATAAAGAAAGATATGGAAAAAAGATAGCAGTGTTCTTAATTTTAACTAAATAGCCTCAGAGTTGAATAGAGTCATCATCCAGCAGTTGTTATGGCAATAAAGCTTTCCCTTGCATCTCTATTCCAGTGCATTGCCACCCACCCATTCAAGGTAGTTTGGTACTACCACCAAAATCATATCTCTTCTAACTTTCAACTTACATTTAGGACCTTCTTACAATCCACTCCAGAGATGTACCATAGTTTTTCCTCCTTTCAAATGTTCCTTATATTCCAGAAATCAGTTTTTTCATCTTGTGTCCTGGAGAAGAGAATCTGAGCCTCATACTTCTAGAGGTGAATGTTATATAAAACCAAAATGCAGAACTTTTAAAATCATAGCTAAGAGGAGTAGGGGATGTTTTGTAGCTTTCGCATGGTTGCCAAACAATTAAGTTACCCTTCAAAGGGAAGAGGGGGGGTCTAAGGTTTTCAGAACAAGGTTCCTACAAATCGCAGGCCAGATTAATTCCTAACATTGTTCCACTTACAATGGGGGAAACACTCTGTGAATGAAGATTTTGTAAAGGACTACTGATTGCAACAAAACCGAATTGTACTCACAGCATTTCAGGATGGGAACTCACATTAGAAACAAAGGAGAGGGGCAGGGGGGACTCCCACCTAGGGAGCAGGAAATCAGAGAGGAGCAGATAATGGTTCCTGGCCATTAAGGCTTTGGGTAACCCTGTTAACCCCGTGGTCACCTCAGCACAAACACTGCTTGTCCTCTTGGGGAGCTGGCTGGGAACAAACTTCCCTCAGCTCCCTGTGCTCAGGAGTGCTGCTCTGACGTTCCACTACACACAGATAAAATCAAGATTTCCTTATTTTACTGAAGTCCAAAGTTGTCCGACAATGCGTGAATTAAAGTCACTCAATCCATCCCATAAACTGCTCTCTGTAAACCACTAGTATTTCCACATCATTATATGGTATATTCACTAATCTGATTGCCTTGGGAATATTTGTTTTTCCAAAACTTGTGGCCAAGGTACATAAGATTAGATCAGACACAGCTTGTCTAAGAATGCTGTTATGTGGGTGTACAGTGTATTTGCTAGTTTTGAGTTACAGGTAAAAGTACTCTTTCAAACTCTTCCAGCCAGAGGTGCAGGCTCAGTTCCCTGAAATTTTCTGCTGCAGAAAAATGTAAAGTTCTGGAACTTTACATTCTGCTTTGCTCTTGGTGCCCTAGCACTGGAGGATCAGCAGGGGAAATGCTGATACTGCCTCACCAGGGGCACACCCGGCCCGTACCTCAGCGAAATTTGTGATATTTTATAGGTCCCCACAAGTCTCTCTGGGATTCACGCTCTTCTGCCGGGATTTTCTCACCATTCTGCATGTTAACATGAACCAACAGCTGGGTTTAGGAGACGTGATATAAATAGCAACATCATGCTGCGAGCAAGCTTCTTGGAAAGTAAAGAAAATACGTTATTTAATGCACTCTGACATTTGCCTTTCCTCCCCTCATTCCTAAGCTGCACTTCTGTAAACACCCGTAATGACAAATGCAAAGAAGTTGACTTGTTCACATCGACATAACAAGTGCTGCCTTGAGCCCAGCAGATGATATCCAGAGCCTTTTACCTCTCCCCTCAGCTGGCAACCCCTGCACAGCGGGGAAAGGAGACAGAGTGTGGATGGAAATTCCTGCTTCCAACAGCACTCAAGATTACAGCCTTTGGTATTTTATTTTCATGGTTGCTCCATGTTGCTTCAGAAACTTCCTGCTTTTGCCATATCTTTCCATTCATTAAAGTTGCAGCTTGCAATTAAACATTCTGACATAACATAGCTGAGATTTTTTGGCAGCAGCCTTAACCAGAGGTTTTCAGAGTTTCCTGCAGACGGCTTTAAATTTTCATATCCTCATGAACGCTTGCCACCTTCTTTTAATAACTTGAAAAAATAAGCCTCTCTCAGGAACTTCATTGTTGCTGTATTTCCCCAGCACTCGCTTGCTGCTGTTAGCAATGTGTCGTGCACATGTATATTTATAGAGGGAGCAAAGTCTTCATATGCACTCTATAGTTTGACATCTCATAGGGAACACACAGATTGCTTAGCAGATCTAAAGAAAAATAGTTATGTTCAATATTTTCATTATTAAAGTGTAATTTTCTCTTCTGACAGCATTGTGTTAGTTCACCCCTCAAAAATAATCATATTTACTGCATTATTCAAAATTTACAGGCCCTCATCTGTTAATAATTTTGTAGCTTTATACATATATTATGACTGGAATATATTGCAACACTAAACTACATGCATTATTTTTGTGCAACAAAGTATTTCTTAGGATAAATCTTGACCTTTTTCCAAGGAACTGGAAATCACTTAAAAGGATTTTAAAGCTTTTTGCATTTTTAAGGTGTAGAATATATTTTATAATTTGGAGAGCTGTTCAAATACTGCCTGCCATTATCTCCAATATAGATTTGAAATTTATTTTAAAGGGGGTCTTTTTAATGTTCAAACTGACCTTAAAGTCTTTTTTCTTCTAACATTACCTGGCAAATAAATTCTTAAAGGGATATTATCAATTTAAGAACTATGCTTTAGTCTGGAAAAAATTCCAAGAGATTAAAGAAAAAATGGCTCTTTTCTTCTGTAAGTTTAATTTCTATATTTGACAGCAGTATGTGTGGTCAGTATCTCATGCTGTTAGGAAACAAAAGGGACAGAAATAGATATAGGAGGCCATAATATCTGAAACGTTTTTGAACTACTTTTGTAAAGTAGATTTGAAGTTGATGGGGCCTCTTCAAGTGACAAAAGACTTGTGGAACTCTTAAAAGCCAGATAAGTTTCTCCTGACTTGTGCAGAGCACCCTCAATCAGCTAAAGCTGCTCTTAAAATGCAAGTTTAAGTGTTATTTTTCCTGAATTCTGTCTGCTTCACTTTAAACTCATTAACCAAACTGCAGTAGAAAAAGGCACATTTTTTATCCTGACCCGGTAGGCTTCATATCCAGAGCCCACAGTGGCTCTGCAGGATCTATTAGAGTGCACAAGGCACAACAAAGAAACTTCTGAAGCAGTTAACTTATGGAATAAAGTTTAATTCTTAAACTTGGGCAGTTTACAAGGTACATTTTGGGGTTTTATAATGGTGAACAGACTTCTCAGAACAAGTATGTCATTGGTGCACATCCCATTGATTTCTTTGGGAGCACGTGTAGGATGGCTGGCCTGTGTTCCACAGGATAAAGAGCACCCAGCAGTTCCCCTGCTCCCCCTGGCCTCTCCAGGTAAAGGCAAAAAAAGTTACGGGTTCTCTCTTGGAGTCTGGAAAAATAAGCTTAAAAATTTCCCTGGAGCGTTAACATGGATCAACTGGTGCACGTTTCTGAGCTCTGAAACCGAACAGGCATTTGTTACGGGGTTTGTGGTTTTCTTGGCTGTGATTTAGGATTATTGCATACTTTCTCAACCCCTTACTAAAAATATGCTCGGTTCTTACCATGAAATGCGGCAGCACATTTGTTGCAATCTCTGAGGATGGTTTCTTATCTGTCAAACAGTTTAGAAGACAAACTGGCACAGAGACAGCTCACCTGTTTTCTGTGGGTACTCGATGATAAACTGCGTCTCAGACCCCATTGTGGCACCAAGGACAAGTGTTCTGAGACAAGGCTCATGTAAACAGGTCACCTCTCACTAAAATGCCATTTCATTCCCAAGCCAAGCCAGCTGGCTTTGGACAGAAAGTTCTTTTCTCCTTGCGTGGGCAAACTTTATCGCCTTCCCATCCTTTTTCTCTTGCTGTCACATTACTGCAGAGGTGGCGGTGGCTGATAGCAGAGTGAGAAGCAGTG